TAGCTCAGCGGCAAAGCGCCTGCCTGGCAAGCGCAAGGTCGTGAGTTCGGTTCCCGGTACCGGAGAAAAACCAAAAAAAAAAAAAAAAAAAAACAGTTCAAAAAGCAAAGCTATATAGATAGTCATTCACTTTATTTGAAAGTAAAGTTCCTACACGATACACTTTTAGATTAGAGGAAAAAGGAAATCGAGAGAAGTGGGCGGTCTGAGGAGACAGCTGGCTGATGATTTCCATCAGCACTTTGTGACGGACTGTGACAGGGTATCAAGTGGGAGGGAGGTGTCAGAATGATTCCTGGAGCCCTCTCCTATGGAGGACAATTCCAAAACCTCAACTTCCTCCTTTAAGGTTTGAGGTTAGCATCTGAAGATAGAATGACTTTGCATCATGTTTTATTTTATGTATGTAACACTCACCCACTCATATACATTTGTATACATGGACATATTATGTACAGGTATATAAATGCCTGAAACATATCTAATTTTTTCAAATTCTCCAAAGCAAACCTTCCACATTTGTTCATTCAATGACTTAGTCACTCAAGGAGTTTATTTATTTATTGAACAACAATTAGAAAATCCTCCTAGGCGGGCCCTAGACCATCTGCATACTGTAAAATGCCAAGAGATATTATTCAGATAGACTTTATGTAGAACATTCACTGGCCTGTGTGGTCTCCAGATGTGTGGCCCCTGAAGTGAAAAATTCCTGACTTAGGACAGCATCTACTTTAGTAAACTTTTTTCCACTGAAGCCTTTCCAGTTCATCCCATGTTTTCCCAGGCTTCTTCTCAATTACTCTTGAAGGGTGAAGGAAAAAAAAGAAGAGAAAACCTATGCTAATGGCTTCCACTAAAAAGCATTCGCTCATGAATGCCCGCCCTGTTTTTGTATGTACCACTAGAATGTTTTAATCCTCAGTGATCAGAATTTACCCTCCAAGTCCAGAGGCCTCGTTTACTGTCTGCCCCCCCAAATAAAGACCAAGGTCATTGTGAGCTGAACTGAAGCCACAATAGTCTCTAAAATGATGCAAACAGGACTATTTTCATCTACAATATTTTAGATGGAAATATATTTGAGTGAGTGTATTTAACTCCTGCTTCTGACTCTGTAATTTCGTCTGACCTCATCTTAAACCAGTAAAGCTTCTCAAAAAAAAAATGAAATGTTAGAACTTTTCTGAAATCCAACCCTGACCAAATCATTATTCATTTCTCCAACAAAGCTATAAACATTTAAGAAACAGAATTTGAAATTGACAAGATATTTAAGGGTAAGGTGTATGCATAAAGTGAAGATTTATACTTTAAATGGAAAAACGAGTTACAGAATTAACTGTAGATCCTCGTCAAAAAAACGAAAAGGAGCTGATGCTGAAAAGCAAATTAGGTAAATTAAACGTTTCTGGAAGGAATAAATTTAAAACAAGCCTCTGTGACTTATAGTTTCCTGAGTTTTGTTTTCCTGGATCCATAAAGAATCTACTATGAAGCCTGAGAAAACCACCAAGTGTGATAAACTTATAGAGTGGAAGGAGAAAATAAAAATGCACTTGAAGCCTCCCGTGGGACACAGGACTGCTCAGCGTTCAGTTTCTCCTTAGTTGATATACACAAATTCCCATTCCCTATTTAGTATTCACACACTATGTTGAAAACAAGTTCAAGTTCATAAGGACAAATAATTTTTAAAGGAAAAAATGTGTTTTCTTCTGCATAAAGTGTTCTTCACCTTGACATAAAGTACTATCCTGCTCCAGAAAGCCACTGATAAATATCCAAGTCTAAAAGAGCAACTCACCACACTGTAGGCAAACTGAGGGCATTTTCAAATGAACAGGAGAGCATGCATGATCAAGTTTCAATTTAAAAGAAAAATTAAAACAGGAAAAAAAGTCTGCAAGTGCAAATTGCTTTGAAATGACCTTTTTGTACTGGCCCTATCTTCCAACACTTCTTTTCGTGGGGCACTGCTTATTATGCATTTAAAATTGATCTGTAAATTTTAAAAAGCAACCGTGTAATAGCAACCATATGTAAACAACATAGTAAACTAAGTATCAACAGTTTATACCCGGTACCGGAGAAAAACCAAAAAAAAAAAAAAAAAAACAGTTTATAAATGTTTTGCTACAAAATTCATATGGCTGAATTTGTTTCTGAAGAACGTTTAAAGGGCAGTTAAAAGCATGCCAAACAACTTCCCCCTAGATATTTCATTTAAATTTTGTCCAGCAAGAAAAAGAAAGAAAACAGCAGCAGTAGATAACTATCACATGATGAAAGTCACTTATCCCTTGGTTTGTGTTGTTCAAAAATAGAACTTCTGAAAGCAGAGCAAATATGAAATATGACTCTGCAAGTCAGACACTCTGAGTATTAATTATGTATATCCAATAAAATAAAACATTAAATCTTCACCAGAAATTTTAAAATTCAGAGACGAGAGAAATCAAACTGGAAGAGAAATAATCTCCATAAATTAGCAAAGTAAAAGGTCACTTGCTCATAATCACTGCAGGACATACATATACATGATCCAAGGGAAGAAGAAATCCTCGGCAGATCCACAAGCAAAGCCTTACCTTGACAGGTGCCATTTTTCTCTTCGTATCCCGCCTGGCACATGCACTTCCCGATGGGCACCAGCCACTCCCCTTCAGCACTGCAGTGCATTTTGGGAGGATCATCTGTCACAGAATGATTGACACAGGCGCCTGAGACCTCCAGCAGCTGTGAAGAGTCTGCTCCGGTGATGGTGTCGGGGAAGACAGCCAAGTGTCGCACCACGGAAGGGCATTTTTTATAGTACACACGCACAGAAACCAGAGCAATGCAGGCTCCCACGTCTTGGAAGGCAAGATAAAACCCCTTCTTGCTGAGAGGGCCCACAACTCTAACCTCTGTGTTCAGTTTCATGACACGGTCCCCAAGGTCAAGTTCTGTAAAGCTCTCATCGGCCGCAATGGTGTCAATCTTGGTGTACTGGTTTTCCTTAATGTTCCTTCCATTCTCATCATCTGACTCAAAATAATACATGTTAAAAGTTTCCTTGCAGGTCCCCAGGCCTCCAGGAAGACTGTTGCAGTCCCGCAGAGTAAATTTGAGTTCTATGAAGATTCTGGAAGCACCTTCATTGGAGATCCAACTGGTTAAGAGCCAGTTATTCTGATTCTGTTCCATGACCTTGCATACTTGGTACGTGTGGATAGGAGCATAGTTTTCATCAACTTCACCAATCTCTTCCCACTACACGATATGAAACAGAAAGACAAGAAAATTGAAAAAATAGCAACATTTGTCAAAAAGAACTAATTACGATAGGAAAATACCTGTAACATTAAAATACGGTATGGAGACAAAGAGCCTTTTACAAAGTAGGGTGAAAAGATACTGGAAAAAAATTGTTTTATTTTGGTGTTGGGGAATCATATTAATCATGTATTCTACCATGAGTTACACTCCTAGCTTCTTTTTTAAAAATTAAATAATCGAAGGACTTAAGTTAATTAACTTCAGATCAACTCAAAGATGCACACATATGAATTATATATACCAGGGGAAATCAGCTATTTCAGGATTAAAATATAGAGAAAAATGAATGTAGATAGAATAAGCAAGGAAAAGCAAAGAAAGAAACTAATATACATTTGAAAGATAAGTATACCAACAAGTAAGACAGAAGCTACGGTTCAAAACACACTCCCTAAAGGGTCACATGTTAAAGCTTTGGTTCCCATCTTTCAAACCTACAGGACGCAGAGGAAACTCTCAAACGGGTGCCTGAGAGGGAGATCTGTAGGGAATGAGGGTGTGCCCTCAATGGGACTGCAGGTCTCAGTCATTTTTTGTTCTCTTTTTCTTTCTGGGCTGAGGGGAGCACTTCTGTCTCCACAGCCCACGATGATGCGCTCGCTGCCTCCTCACAGGCCTAAAAACAACGGCGCCAACTGATCGTAGACAGAAGCCTCCAAAGCTGTGAACCGGAAGAGACCTTGCTCTTGGTAATTTGATTATCTCAGTTACTGGCCGTAGTAATAGAAGGGGAACTAAAAAAAGATGTAATTTAAGAAAAAAAAATGAGGAAAGAGAATAGCAAATGGAGAAAAGAAAAATGAAACTTATGAAAACACATTTATTTAATTCTGTCAATGTAACAAATAGCATATTACTGTAACAAAATATGAAACAAAATCTATTAGCTTAAAATTAAAACTATAGTGGATCTTTATTTCATTGAATCCATCTGAGGGGATCATTTTCACTAAATGGAAAACTATTTCTTCATAGATCTACCCACAGTTATAGACAGTTATAAGACAGAGATAAAAATTATAATTTATGGGCTGGGGATTTAGCTCAGCGGCAAAGCGCCTGCCTGGCAAGCACAAGGTCGTGAGTTCGGTTCCCAGTACTGGAGAAAAACCAACAAAAAAAAAAATTATAATTTATACTATGGATAGGCTTATATGAAATATTAATAGTCTTATTGTTATACTTTGTAAAAAATTAATTCCTTGTTATCAATACATTGTTTTCTTTGTGATTACCTTAAAATATCTGAAAATACACAAGATATAAAGTAATTACATATGGTTTACATAGTTTGCAAGATCAATTTGGTCAAAAAGACATATAAACCTATTTCTTTTCCAACAAAATACTCCAGTTTTAAGAATCTCAATGTACAATGACCATTTCCTGAAGTACACCGAATCCAAATTTGTATTCCTCATGAAAATGTCATAAGTTAAGAAATTTATTAAACCTGTACAGAAACTATGTATACAAATTCATATATAATCATCTTTTGTTTTAAATCCTTCCAATGTCCCTGAAACATAAGGAGTAATCACACATGCTGGCTCTGAATAAATTCACAATGTGTGGTTTCAGACATTCAGTATTATAGATAAAATCCACAGAATTCATTTCTTTAGACATTAAATACAGAATTATTTCTTCATCTTGTCCAACTGGGAAAGATGTGGAAAATGTAGAGGCACAAATACATTTTAGACCAAAGATGCCCCTCTTAAAATTCCAGCTGCATCACACAGACATAAGTAAAAGGTGCTAATGAGGTAAAACTGCTGAGCTCCTGGAATTCACAAGAGAGAGACGTAAGATTTCATCTTGCCTAACAACTTTTCCATTATGGTGTTATGAGAAGCCTTAGCTCTTTCAATCTCATTTTGGTCTCCTCTCAAAATGTGTACAAACTCTACTTAGCTCCTGAATTTCTAAACCAGCTTTCTGTTTTATCATTCTGTCATTAAGCTACTTACATTTTCTTCTCCAAGCGGTTTAAGTATCAATCTCCTTATTATACATGGTTTCCAAATGTCTTGATTAATATTTCATGCAAAAGAGCACCTCACCCACAGAAAAACGATGAAGTTATCAATACCAGAGCAAGATTAATTAAATATACATTATTTGAATTAGTAAATGGAAATAACAGCATTAAAGCTCTTCTCTTAAAAAAAGAAATGAAAAAGCTATATTATTTTTGCTTAGATATTTATTTTATTTTATGATAGTAATCCGAATCAAAGCACAAATGGGTTTTAAGTCATTTGTTTTTAGTCATTTAGAGAAGGCCTACTTCAGATTCATCTATCCATTAGGATCCTGCTACAGAAGAGTGGAATCCTCCAAAATTATAAGCAATTCACAGTCTGAGTGTGCAGGAAGTCCAGGGTAGCACACAGATTACTGAAAATGCAAGCCAAGCAGCCCTTGACAAGACAGCTTAATAGTTACTGCTTCAGGTGATAATTTCAAAGTATGTGAATAAGCATCTTGCTTCTCTGAATATTCTCAATTACGGAAAGAAAAACTATATAATTTTCTACAAGTTTGAACCCATTATGGTGAGATCTTATGTATTTTTGTGTTTTTGAAGAATCCAAAATATAAATGAAGGCTGATATTGAATAGTTCCAATGAACAAATGGAAAGATTTTAATTTAAATAATTATACAACAAGCCATTCAGAGAATCAAACAGGTAATACACAGATTTTCCGTATCTGTCCTTAAACAAATTCATTACAAAATAGATAAAACTATTTCACTTATTTTAGGTCATCTGAAGTAAAGCTCTGAACTTGTTCACAGTTTCTTCTCTGCAAGTACCCATAGCTCACCTTGCAGACACTGGCACCAATCAGAAATAAAGAAATGGGATGAAGAGAAAATAAGTCACCAAGAATGTAAGAATACGGCCAGCAAACTTCCAGATACTTTTACAAATGTCATGTTAAAGGGACTGTTCGAATTTAACGAAGGGCACAGTAGAAAACAGTATTTTCTGCTCACTCCTGTACTACTTCCTGTGATTCTATCATTGAATAAAAGCGTTTGCTCGTCCTCTGGAGACCGCAAGTGATGGCCAAGGACACTTGGGAAGTGGGCATCACAGAATGAGGTGAGGGGGGTTACAATTTTGCAGTTTGGTTGATGCAAATCCCAAAGGCCATTCCTTTGAGCCCATGTTTTTCTCTTAGTTTCCTCATTTCCTGTTGTTTTGCCTTAAAATTTAAAAAAAAAAAAAAAAAAAACAAAAAAAAACAACTACCCAAAACACTGGTTATAGGATCAGGTTAGGCCGGCTTCTCTCCCAGGTTCCTTACTCACTCCTCACCCCTCAGGGCTCTGGGAATTCCAACCTGCTGCACTGGAAACACATGGACAGACATCCCTATGCCAGGCACACTTATCAGAAGAGGGGAAAGACAAAGGCCTTATTTTCACATTCATATGTGTATCAAGGAATCACCATCTTTTCATACCCCAGCCACTAGGAACTACTCATTGCTTCTGCTTCTCTTTTTTTGTTTGTTTGTTTGGTTTTGGTTTTTTTCCGGTACCGGGAATCGAACTCACGACCTTGCGCTTGCCAGGCAGGCGCTGTACCATCTCCTGCTTCTGTCAATGGCCTGTAAGAAGAGAAAGTCAAGTTTTCCCTGAAGTTGTTTGCCTCAAGCTTCTGCTGTCTCCTGCGTGGGATGCACTGTACTCACTTTCAGTCCTAGCCTACATATTATCTCCTTTTCTTCAGGAGTGGAAGCTGAGTCAGGACACACAGCCAAGACTCTGTCCACCTTTGATTTTGTTGCTAAACCCATAGCAGGAAACGTCACAGGAAGAGAACAGATTTTGCCCTTTCAAAGGATCCTCAGTTTGCCTGAATATCATGTTCTGTTTTTATTACTTTATTTCTATTTATCTTGATTCTTACATCAGGATATGAATCTACTGTGGTCAGTTTAAGGTGCAACAATAAGAAACAATAAGAATAAAAGGGGAAAACACCAGTCTGGTGCCCCCGTTTCAGCCCTAGCTCTTACATCTCAGTAAATAAACTGGAACAACAGCTTTGCAATCAGCAGTGAGAACCAAAACATTCTAATTACTTAATATCCACTATAAGACCATCAGGCAAAGGTCTTAAAGGATCTAGTGCTAGTGTTAATTTAGAAATAAGAAACTGAAAGCCAGACAGAAGGAAATATTCGTCCAAGTGTACACAGGACCACATTTACAAGGGTGTGCTTGAAAAATGCAATGAATATTTAAATTAAAAAAGAAACACGGTAAAGGGTACTGTGCCATTAATCGCCATCAAAACATGCCCATTTGCTTCAGAACTACCCAGCCTTCTTGCTGCTTCCTAAAGCAGCTCTGTCAGTTTTTTGTGGTTGTCTTTACTTTCATTATTGAGGGTGCCTCAATGTCCTCAGTTGCTTCAAAAGGTTTATCTTTCATAGTCATTTTGACTTTGGGGAAAAGCCAGAAGCCAGTTGATGCCAGATCTGGTGAGTAACATGGATAAGAACATCCAGTTATATTTTTTTATGAACCTGCTTTTGTGTTGGATTGCACCGGCAGCAGCATTCACCCACTTTTTTATCATGTCTCCTAAAGATACTCATGAAAGAGGACTTCAAGAAACAGCTTCTGAAAGTGGCAAGAACAACTGAGTTAGTGTACGCAAAGCAAGACGAGTCTTTTGAGGGAGATTAATGGGAATGGGTCTTTTACTGTAATAAGTTTTTTTATTCAAGCTTACTCTGCATTTTTAATCAGTCCTTGTACTATTTGAACATCTCTTCCACCTTTATCTATTTGTCTTCGTATCAGCCTGTTTCTATCCCTAACGTGTCAGTTTGTATGTAAGATTCCTGAATTCAGTTCATTGCTACCTACTCTACTGAAAATAAAATCACATTTTTTAACCATCAC